GCTCCAGCATTATTGGTTGCTAAACATGATGGTTCATGGCGAATGGTAGTTGATTATAAAAAATTAAATAATATTACAATTAAAGATAATCATCCGTTACCCAATATGGAACAAGCAATACCAGTACTTGGTGGTGGTTATAAATTTTTTTCAAAACTTGATATGAAAAGTGGATTTTGGCAAATTCCAATTAAAGAAGAAGATAAATATAAAACCACCTTTAATACTCCTGATGGTTTATATGAATAGAATGTTTTAGCACAAGGTTTAAAGAATAGTTCACCATCTTTTCAACGTGTTATTACCGATATTTTATCACCATGTTGTCAATTTTCATTAGTTTATATTGATGATATTGTAATTTATTCTCGATCATTTGAAGAACATCTCGCTCATATGACACAAATATTATCAATATTATTAAAACATAATTTTCAACTTAACCCATCCAAATGTAGTATTTTGGGTGTGGGTGTGGGGGCGTGGGCGTGGGTGTGAGTGGGTGTGGTGTGGACTAGGATGTTTGCTGACACCTACATCGACATGCAAATCCACACCCACACCCTCGTACTCCAAATCTTTGTAACTAAAACTGTTATTAAAATCATGTTTTTTCTAAAAATCAAACCTAGCATTCTCCAAAGAACAACTAACCGAATATTCCACCATTTCTCATATCAGTTTCGACCTGCTTTGCTTCATATCTTTGATTTTTGAATCGAAAGATAATTTATTTCTAAAAGAAAGTATTCATCACTTACAAGAATTCATTCTTTTAATTCTTCTCTAAAAAACATAAAAGAAAGCGATCTTATTTCGATGGAATGCTATTTGTGCCGTTCCAAAAGAGAACGAACTAGAATGGATTCTATTGGTTTAAGAATGGTTCGGAATACCATCCCTTCAAATGGAGAACAATTTCTCAATAGAAAATAAAGCATTTCATCTTATTGTGGAATAGTAAAGAATGAGTTCCTTCAGACTGAGAGTGTTTCTTCTTCAACATAAACAGATTCACTAGTAAAAGAAATGCATTTTTTACGTAGGAAAAAGGTTTTCATATTTTTATGAAACCATTCTGTTCCAGTTTCTTTCAAAATATTTTTCACTGGGATGAATATGAAAATGTTTGATTCTTTCATTTATTTTTTTTATATCTAAGTGAAAACAGCTAAGACATTGATATTAGAGATATTCATCATCATCTCTATCAAATAGAATGTTTTTAAACTTATTCTCAGGAATGGCACTCATATATGTTCCCTCAAAAGTGATAATACTTAAGTAGATATATATTTATAAATAAATATGGTCAAGTTATTTAAGAAAATTCAAATAATTTATTAATATTTCGCAATATTCTCAGAATAATTCAAAATTCTTTCAAAAATAAAAAGAATTTATTAAATTGAAAATTAAATAGATAAATATATTGTATATTTTTTAGTAGATAGTATTCATAATATTCTTGTACACGCACAGTAAAAAAAAAAGAACACCATTAATATTTTTAAAATATTAAAATGTAAATATAATTTCTATTCACTATGTATAATAACTATCTAATACGTAATTAGAACCCTATATAGTAAGTTATTCCAGTCATTATATAAAATAAACTTATACAATTTTTAACAGAATAAATTCTAAAGTACTCGCATCAGAACCTATCAATCTGTGATAAAAATACAATTGTTACAATGAAGATGTTCGAATTGTAAAGAATTATAGTAAAGATTTGAACTGTGAGATATACACTAGGATTAATTCACATGGTTGTTAATAGTTCCTTAAATATAGAACTCAACTAATATATTATATATCTATTTTGGCTTTAATTTTAAGATAGTTATATCTATAAAAATCTAACGTGACATTTGTATAGTATATTTTCTCTTTCTCACGATAGACAAGACTTCTGATTTTGATATTTTAACTAATACTTGAGTACAATAAGTAGATAAAATGATCTAAGTTTCGTCGCAATTTACCCTACTATAAGAGATTTATGTTCCAAACGAATCGAAAAATCTCACATGACATTTTGTTTGACAACTAATTTTTCAAATATCATTTCATACTTTTTCCTCAACAAGAAATAGCACATTTTTCTAAGCCTCTTTGGCTGTTTTATATGCAGTCAACTGATTTTCATTTGACACCAACCTGATCAATTTCAGACGAATTATTGCGTTCCAAAATGGATTTTAATCTCGCGTGATAGAAAATTGAGCATTATCTATAGCCATGATATTTCGAGAAAACTATAATAAAAAACGCATTGAAAGAACGACTGAGTTTTATATCCGAGACGTCTAGACTCTATATTATAAATATTATAAATATCATGAATTGTCAAATTTCAAATGACAAGTAACGAATTGACCATACGATTTTTTTTTATCCAAAAGATGGCAGTAGATATTGAACTTTTACTCTTTGTCTAGCCAATATCTCAGGAATTATTCAAGATAACCTTGTGATGTTTTTGTGTGATAGTGAAGATTTTTGTAGTAGAACATATGCTTTAAAAATCACAAGGATTGGTTGAATAGAACTCAAGATATTGAAATTTTACGTTCCAGAACACTACGATAGAATAAATATGGAATTAACTCGTATGTAGCAAGAATAATAGCATATTCTATGTAATAGAAAATATACAAATACACTTTCTGTCTTCGATAAAAATCTAACTGTGCTCACAGATTTCTCTAAAACAAATATCGTTTTAGTTAGGTATATACGTATTGAATCAACCATACACTTATTTCATATAAGATCTTTATTAGAGATGTGCGAGGTATCCTCCTTTTGATGTGAAATAATTTTCTATGCAATACTTTCTGAAAAATTTCTCGAAAACTATCTAAAAGTGTATTTCATTTTTATCGAAATTTTCATTCTAACATGCTTATGAGATACAAGAAATATGAGACATATAGTTTAAGATACAATTCTGATATTTATCCTTTTATACTCTAATACTAAACTAATGAATTTGATTATTTTTTGTTTTTATTGAAACGATAAGAAATTACGCTGAATTTTAACCAAGTTGGTTTTTTTCAAATTTCATCAAAGTTGCTTAGTTTTTTCAAAATAAATTTTATAAAAATAAACTTTTTTTAAAGAAATTAATATAATTTTCTATTATTTTGATAAGTTGAGGATCATATACAGTTACTTAATGTTCAACTTTGAAGAAGTAACTAATGGGTGACCTATAAGTAAGGAAACGGAACAAAAAAATTGAATATCTCTATTATGAATTGACCAAAAAAAGTTCATTTTTATATCAAGGCTAGAGGTTTATCCATACTTTAGATTCAAACGGACAAGACTAATGACAACCTTTGGAAGTATCAATGCTGATCTCAACAAAAAAAATTGTATTTTTTCATAGATTAGAAAAGAAAGAAATATACATAACAAAGGTTCACACTAATCTTGTTGAGGGCTGCCCAAATACAAGTACAACTTGTACTACCTTTTTTCTCCTAGAATTCTAGAATTCATGTATTATATGTATATTATGTATTATGTACTATGTGCAATACATGGACCCATATATACCCCAAAAACCTAGAATTCTAGAATTCTAAGTTTTGTTGGGGTATATATATATGAGTTCATGTATTATACACAATACATAATACATATAATACATGAATTCTAGAATTGTAGGCGAAAAAAGATAGTACAAGTTGTATTCGTACTTGCGCAGCTGTGTGGCTAATATTAAGATTTGCTCAGAACTTATAGTTAAGTTTAAGTAAAACTATCCGCCTAGGTCAATTATTACTAATTGTCATTAATTATCTTAAGCGGATGTTTATACATGGTAGGTGATCGCTTTTGTGTCGACATGACACGTCTAGTACTACTTTATAGAACAAAAACATGTCTAGAATATTCTGATTATTAACAATTTAATATATATTATGTATTATTTGTTTTTTCTGATGATTTACCAATAAATTGAATGGCATAAATATATTATTGTTTTTAATAAAAATAATCTAATGATTGTTATCAATGAAAACAAATCATAAACGATACAACTCTCACTTATGAAACTGCTAGATAAACTAAAAAAGAAACAATTATTATTATTATGCTTTTATATATGTGACAACATCATAGATCAATCAACTTATTGCATATTGACCTTTACAATTGTTTATAAGTCTTTAGATGAGGACAGATATTACTAAAACATAAACAAGGAAACTAAAAAAAATCAATTCTTTTTTCCGTTATGAACGATTGAATAGTTATTCTAACCAGTCATGACCGAGATTGGCTATAATTACTGATAATTATTGTTTGTCTCTTAATTCTTTCAGTACAAGATTATTTTTATATAGTCAAAAGGACGAGGAAGAAGGGATAGACAAATGAATTCTATAAAAGCTTTATTATTCGATACCCCAATATATTACACCAAACGAAAGAGCTTAATGAGTTGAACACCTTTTGTGATGGAACTTGGACTTTTAAATAAAATCATAAAAAATTCTGGATATGACAACGACTAAAATAACTGAAATTTTACAAGTCAACTTACTCAGAACTCTTCATGGTTTCATTTAAAAGATCAAGTTTCACCACAAAAAGTGCTCAACTTACCAAGTCTTTTCGTTTGGTATTATATAGTTGGAGTTTCGAATCAAAAAATTTTTACAGGGTCGTTGGCCTATCAACCGTTCTTCGTCCCTTTGACCATATAAAAATAATCTCGTACTCAAAGGATTCAGGGTCTCATTAGATGACTGATTGAAATATAATAAATATATCTTGAAAGTAGTTACTATTACTTATTCATATTCATGTATGAATTGAGTAATAGAACACTTATATTCAACTAGATTTGGTTCTAATTTTGAATAAAAAGGTACATGTTATGCATGTCCGAATATAAAAGTCATCTGATTTCAACCCTTAAGCAAGGTCGAAATCGGTCATGACTGCTTAAAATAGAATTTCTCATGAAAATAATCTCTATATATATATTAGAAGTAATAAAGAACAAGTCTAGTGAAAATAAGATTAGAGATATATTTTCTTTTTGTTTAATAATGACGTTGTGAACAAACAATGAGATTTTCCCCGTTTTTTTTTGTCAACTGTCATATCTTGTTAAACATGATCAATTAATCAGATCTTTTATGTTTTATGTGCTTCAAAATAAAACCAAAAAGAAAAAACATATTTTCTCTCTCGATATAGAAAAGTATGAAAATGTTTCGTTACAGAAATCAAGTTACATATATAATCGGACTGCTCCTCAACACTGTTTACATAGATGATTTGAAATTATAAATTTTGATTCGAATATATAATTGATTGATGAAAAGGCTTTCGAAATTATTGAAATAATTCACATTGAATTTTACACGTTAAATCTTCCGTATAGATTCATTAAAAAGAGAAGAACATAATAAATAAATGAATATTTATTATTGCTTAAAACTGTTCTAATCAATAAGACTTAGATTAATAATTATCTTTTTTTTTGGTATATTGCAATGTTAAGTGTACTTATCAATCGCAGTATCTTATAATCTATTCGAAAAATGTCTACCACAAGCTTATCTTAACCAACCAACAACGATGAGAATGAGTAACGTGAAGATGCTTTCAGCCAATCATGTTAAAAAAATTACTAACGACACCTAGCGGAGCTTTTGAATACCGATTTTTTATGGAAAACCAAAATCACCATATGATAGAGAAAAATTTTCTCTATCTACTGATACCTAAGTGATATTTGGCCCTTCTCAAAATCCACGACCACCAATCATGTTGGACTTGCTTTTGTTTCTCTTATTTCACTATGTTCTTTGCCGTGTGGGTGCGCCCAAGTCGAACGAGCACGATCGTAAACGATCGTATACGGAGAAATATGACCAAATACATGGCTCAGTATTACGATCGTAAATCTCCTTGTCGTATACGGAGTAATACGACAAAATACTGAGAAAAATACGATCGTTTACGATTTTCGTATACGCAATCCGTATACGATACCCGTTTTGCTCCGTATCTCACCGTAAACGATCGTATCGCACCATAAACGGTCGTATCCAGGTCGTATACGGTCGTTTGCAGTCGTATACGAAGTCCGTAATCGTCAACCTGGACGTACCAAAAATGGTGGACGATGTATAATCAACATGTAATAGACAGATTAAATCTTTTCCTATATAATAATCTTTCTTCTTTTTTTAAATAAGCTGAAATGTCTATATATGCAGACATGTATATATGTGTTGTGATATGTACAGATAAGGTCAGTTTAATACACATATCAGAAAAATATCAATGGGTAATTCTTCATTATCAGGTAGTACTGGGAAACAAGTATGTATTTCTCTTCGTGGTCTGTCACATGAGGTTTGTGTAGCAGCTACACGAGCAGAATATTGGCGACAGATATGTTTGAAAATAAAAAATGAATTAATATATGAACAATTACTTCTCTTAGTTGGTACAAAATTCAAGTATTTCAATTAGAGGTACTGGTAATTATGTACCAGTAAAGTTACAATCAATGTGTAACGATGAAGATGAACCAAGACTACAACTGATAATTAATTCACAAGCTGAACAAGATAATCAACAAATTGATGGTATGTTATTAATTATAAACATAAATGAATTTATAAAGTTTTCTATTTAGATATTTATAATCGAATTCGTTCTGATTTAACGTTATTCGAACACAATGATGCACCTGTTTATAATGTAACTAACTTTTGTCATATATGAACTATTATCATTTTTCAACATTTCAGTATGTTAATCGTGAAGTTACTGTTTTGGATTCATTGTTTAATTCTCTTCCAATGGATATATTTAATCCTGACCTACATATATTAGGTCCACAAGTACGTGAGAAATATTTATATCGTAATAACCATCGAATAATAATTCTAGTATTGTAATATCACAAAAATAAAAAAAGTCATTAGCTTGTTCAATTATTGTTGAATCATTAACTGGTACAATGGTTGATTCATCTATAGCATATAGATATCGTTTTCCAATATAGTACGTTTAATTTTTTTTTCAAGTTTTATAGAATTGAAATATTATTAATGAACATGAAAATAAAATGTTTTTTTTTTTCAATAGCCACGAGAAACAAACTACTTTGAATTTTGCGGTTATGCAAATTCAAGCACTTGTACACCAAGCACAACATAGTTATTTTATGATGTATAGTATAAAAATTGGACGAACGTTAGGTATTATAAAACAAATGGAAACTGGTAAGTGTATTCAATGGAGAGCGAAATAAAAAATATTTATTGAGATAAAAATTTAGGCACATCAACATCAAATCAAGAGGAATATTCATCATCTACAGCATATAAACCTACTTGTAAACGAGTATGTAAAGAAAATATTATCATTGACTATATAATAATATTATTTTGTATTAGAAACGTACTGAAGATGAAGAACAACAGCTAACAACAAGTAATATAAATTAAATAAATTTCTTAAAATTTGATTTATTCTCATTTATTTAGGTCAATCAATTTGTGATTCTGATCAAAGTGATGATGATGATGATGAAATAATACCCGACGACATACGGTATGAATCTCAAGACTTTGTTTCAAATTATAGTTAAAATAATTCTCCAATATGGGACAATTCTGATCATATTTCATCTCATCTATCATTCCATCACTTGTAGATCCTTTGTTTTCCTGTTATACTATAAGACTAATCGAGATGAGTGTATATTATAATAAAGTTTATTTATTAAAAGTAAAAAAAATAATGAATATAGTTTATCAAATCATTCATTTATATGGGCACTTCGTAGACGCTTGGTAGTCTATGTCAGACGTGCTAAAAGGCGCTTGGTAGCCTGAATGAAACTGGTATATGCAATCATGAATCTTGATGCTAATTAATTGCTACGAAAGAAAATAGTACAATCGAAATTGATATCGATGGTGATAATACTTGGTATTGATATCAGTTTTGTCATTACGGATAGAAAACTTGGAGATATAGAACAAATCAGAGTTAGGATAATATTTTCTTTTTGAAAAATCAAAAAACGACGTATTAGATAATATTTGATTTGTCCAACTGACTAACAAAGGAAGTTTCGCAAGGGATAAATTACTTTTAAGTCGAGACTGCATTATGTAGAACCAAATGAGCTCTAAATTCTCTGAAAACACGAGAAAAATTTATATTCGAATTCCGATTTGAAACTTTACACATAGGCAGGTCTCAACGAGAATAGTTTTCTTGTGAATATTTCAGATCTTATTATTGCTCCTATCTTAAGATACAGTCTTGATAAAGGATTGTCTTCTACATTGCTTACATAGAATGCCACATTCGATGTTTTTATTTAAGAACGGAAGCAAATCAGAATATCTGAATCTCTCACAATAAGCTGACAATATGTCTCTGCACAAAGTACAATGAAAACTTGGCAATCAGTTTTCTTGCTGTTTCTGAGGAGGTCTAAGGCATCCATTTAAAAACTACCGTGAATTTACAGTATGTCTGCCACAAATAAGCTAAGATCCTCAACTTATCAATAGATTGAAAATTTATTTAGGTTTTCATGATATTCAGTGTTTTATCTAGTGGGTAGGCTGGATGAGCGGCGCCCACCCTAAATTTCGATTCGCCCGCCCGAAAATATAAGAAAAATGGTTTCATAAAAAGTATATGTTATCTTCCATTTTCACTCTTATTATTTATGGACACCATTCATTTTATCTTTTCTAATTAGTAGTGAAGGGTGTCAGGTTTGATAATATCTGATTTCTTAGCGCATTGGTGGTGTGAGTTTTTCCTCTAAGGTTTTTCAGCATGCTT